CCCCCCCCCCCCCCCCCCCGCATACTACTAGCATTTCTATTATGTGGTGGGGAAGACTGACCCAGGTCCTTGTATATGCGAGGCAAGGGCTGTACCCCTGAGTGTATCTGCAGTCCAGATTCATTTCTTTCTTAATGTGGGATGTTTTAAATTCCCACAGCTGTTTGGCTTCTCCCACCCGTCTTTCCGCCCACTGCTCACAGTCAACAGCTAAGCAAATGAAAAGGATCAGTAGAGAGAGGGCATTAACTAAGCTTTCCATCAGACATGTACATCCAGGAAAGTGTTGGTGACACGGCACGATAGGAAGGGCACAGTCTGCATCCAGGCTCTATTGCTTGTGAGCTCTAGGAACCCAGCCACTGCATTTCTCCAAGTCTCAGTGTCTTTGACTATAGAGCAGTTGAAAATTACAAAGCAAACTGTAGAAAGCCTTAGACAGGCCTAGCAACATGTATTTGTTCCTGTCCCTGTTTCCTGCTGTAATAGAAAATGTTGTACTGAGATTTCAGTTATCTCTTTTAACTAAAAGTATAAACCCTAAGAGATTAAAAAAACAAAAAAATCAAACCAACACCTCCCATTAGCATTGGGAACACAGACATATCTATCCTTCAGAAATCCAGCAACACAGGCCTGCTGAGATGGCTTGGCAGGTACAGGCACTTGGTTTTCAAACCTAACAACCCGACTTTGACACCAGAAACCCACAGTAGGAAAGAACGAACTCCCTCCCCAGTGTTGTCCGTCGACTTCCACACGTGGCAACTGTGCACTTGCACTCTCTTCCTCACACACACCATAGACACATATACACTAATAAAAACTCCTTTGCTGTTTTTCGAGACAGGGTTTCTCTGTATAACAGCCCTGGCTTTCCTGGAACTCGCTCTGTAGAGCAGGCTGTCAGACTCATAGAGATCCAACTGCCTTGGCCTCCCAAGTGCTGGGATGTGTGTGCCACCAGCACCTGGCAATAAAAACTTTTTAAAGAGAGAACTACATCAACGTAGCCTGCTTGCTTTTGAACTAGTAGAAAGTTAAATAATTCTTCAGTGTTAGATGAAAAGGATTATGTTTGTCATTTCTTTCTGATCTCTAAAGTCAAGTCAAAGGTCTGTTGACCCTCGGCATAGTTACAGCTGCTTCTCCCTCAAACACATGAAAACACTCACCAAAAAATGGGACGGGGTTTCGAATGCTCTCTCATGTCTCACAGGTCAGAAAACTCAGTACACACAAAAGGGTGGTTTACCACATGTCTGCTCTATGGAGAACATCTTGCTAGGTCTGCATCACCAATCACACGCTTCTTAAAGCATCACTTAATCAGCAGGTACGGGTGGCAATATTAAACCCTGGACTTGAAATTTCAAATAGTAGCTTTGTATGCACATCGTGAATCAAAATTGCACATAACTGATGGAATTCATAAATAAAGAATCCGCTCTGACCTCTTTTAAATTCCACGAAAGTGTCTTCACTTAGGCCTATATAACACAGCTGCAGAATGGGCCTTAAAAGGGAATTCAAAAGAATGTGTCACTACCATATCTCAGCTTGTATCAATCCATGCATAAGTATTCCAGACGGAAAAGGGCATGGATTTGACTGAGGAAAGCTACCCCTGCATTGGGAAGAACTGGATTCAGAGTGCGGTGGGAGCTTAGATTGTACCCACGTGCCTTCTACCACACTGCCTGAGCTACTCCAGCTGGTTGCATTAATAAAATTTTTATTAAAAAAGTGTTTTCAAGTGGAAAAATGATTCTGGGGATCTGGAAAAAACAAACCTGTAGCCACTGATAAAACTAATTAGCTAACTGTCATTAGCATTTAAAATGTATAATTAAGAGTGAAAGCCATTCATTTTAGACCCAAACCATCTGTTACGCTCCATTTCAGTTTTGTAAAATATCTAGTTTTCTCGCTTGACTGAAAGAGCACTTGTTTATTTCCCACGGTCCCGTCCTCCCATCTACACCTGGTTCCCAGGTCCCACCTCAACTCCTGCACTCCCCTGCTCCTCCCCCACAGCCCTGCTCCTGAATACCCAGGCTGGTGAGCACTGGTATCCTGTGTGCATAGCACTTAGAGAAAACAGCCCTCCCTCTGAGGACCAGTGAGTGGGAAGCAGATGGAGTGTGGATCCCAGGTCTCCCTTCCTTCCTTCCCTTCCCCCCACTCAATAGTCTCAAAGATTAAAAAAAGGGTGTGTGTGTGTTTACCATGTGCTACAGGACACACATGGAAGTCAGAGGACAACTTGTAGGAATTGGTCTTTTCTCATGTGGGCTCCACGTCTCAAAAATTAGCTTACCAGGTTTGGTAGCAAGTGGCTTTACCTGCTCACTGGCCTCAATAGGTATCGGTAGCCAATTTGCTCTTTTCCTATCCTGTTGTCTAAATAGTCATCAGTGTCCTTCACCATGGGAAGGCAATAATACCTGAGACAGAAATCTAGAAAAAGAAGCTAGAATGTACAGACCATACCAGATGTCGGGTTTTTTTTTTTTTTGTTTGTGTTTTTTTTTTTTTTTTTTTTTTTGATTCAGAACTCATTTTGGGGATGACATGACAACTGGCTTGGGCGTGATTTATGATTTCTTGGATTGCGCAAGTAAAAACGAGGCCAGATGCAGCCTTGCAAGACATGGCCTGTGTGAGAAGAGAAAGATGTCAAGAAGATAGCAGAAGGAGCTGGAGATGAGAGTGAAGGAGGGGGTGCTTCCACGGCCACACTGTGGCTGGCAGAGGCAAAGCAGGGGAGAGTCTGTGGTGATGGATCTGCCAGGTGCTGCAAGCTTCCACATAGAGGACTGATAATTGCAAAACCTTAAAGACAAACACACACATAGAAGTGCCGTAGGCAATAGGTAGTTTTTAACGCCCATTGGTAGTTTTCGCAGAACGACTGTCTTATGTGTGGTCTGTCATTCACACTGACATACGTGTCATTATAAGGCACATGATTCACGTGGCTCCTTTAGCGCAAGAAAGCCTGCAGATCGCCTCCATCCTAAACAACCCAAGCCCACAGACCAGCCCTCGACAGACTTTCCTAGTTCCCACTTTCAGAGTCTTTTTCCCTTTGTTGAATTCCTTCTCAGTCTAGGGTAGTCTCCTCCACTTATGGCTCTTTCCACACTACTATGGGGCTTGGGATTTTGTGTCTCTCCCGCTACACCAAGCTCCCTGATTCACAGGGCTTTCTGGGGGCTGTGCAGAGCTCCCGGATCCACACTTGGGGCTCTCCGGGGTCGGAGCAGAGGGGACTCCTCACACAAGGTAGTACTCCATCTCACTGATCATGGCCTCCTTAGCCCTCTGCTGGCTGCCTCCTGCCGAGGCCTCTCCTGTCTCTCTAGTCTCCATGCTGGCGGCCCAGGTTGATCACTGCACCTCGAGCTGTACTTTAAACTTGCCCTCACGAGGCAAGGTCTCCAGGAAGAGGGACTGTCTTCCTTTGGGATGGAACACTATTTTAAAACCTAAGTAGGAGCTAGAAGCGGTGGCGCATGCGTACAGTCTCACTGCTGGGAAGGTTGAAAGTTTAGACAGTCTAGGCTACAGTGAGTTCCAGGCCAGCCTGAGCTACTGTGAGACTTTATCTCAAAACACCAAACCCAAATCCAGAAAAACCCCAGAAGCTAGAGATGACCAATTCCTTCTTGGTAATCTTTTCTGGAGAGACCAACTTCACCAGCCTTTCATGACAGGGGTCCTGTTTCTTCCACCAGATCCAGTGACTATCACTAGACCGTGCCCTGGACCTCAGGCTGCGGTGCCTACCTTCACAGTTCCTTTGCTCTAACCAGAAGAGTTCCAGTGTGTGCAAGAAAGGTTCCCAGAGCACATCTGCTCAACGAAGAGATGCTTACATCTCAAACCAGACATCCTGCGAAGTACCCAGGCCTTGCGAGCCAGCAGCACGGGGCTGACTCTAGTCTGTTACTTACTGATCACTATAAAGTACGGGGCTTTGGGAGTTAGACGTTATCCATTAAATAAAGGATTTCCAATCTAATCTACAGCATCGAGAACAAGAAGGACAGGGAAGGTGGAGCAAAAGGCGGGCTCCCTCACCATGCAGGCAGCCTGGACGGCTTCCGACACGTTGGCGGCATTCGGCTCACACCAGAACACGTGGCACTCAAAGCGCTGGTTCCCAGTGTCCATGATGAAGGCAAATGTGTGCACATCCTTCCCGACACCCATGAAGGACAGAAACCGCACTCGACACTCCACCAAGATTTCCTCTTCGCTCTGTAAGAGACATGGTTCAGCACCTGTGCTCTCTGGGAAGTCAGACAGCTGCCAGCAAAAAAAAACTGTCACACCTTAAATACTTCAGAGAATTCCGCTTACAGAGCCTGGTAGGATTTGCATCTTATTAGAAAGTCAGAACGTGGCTAAGTAGCCCGAGAGGCCCCCACTGCCGTGGGTATCTGATCTCACAGTGAATGACCCCGCTGCTGGGGAAAGGGATGTGTGTCCCATTCTCCATCCACTGCAGCCCACATCCGTTCTTCACTGTGCAAGGCACAATGTCACATAGACTTCTATAGACTGCCCAACGCAGGGCCCTCGGTGGCTCAGGACCCCTTTGTCTATATGAACCCTTGTCTATGTGTGTCCATGAGTAAAAGATTCGCATGTCTCACTCCGCTGTTTTTTATTCAAGCACCAAATCACATCCAACACTGTGGAAGACAAAATGCTGCTAATCAACACATTTGTCAATTCATTCCCCCCCCCCCCACACACACACACAAGGCAGCATCAAGACGTGTGTGGGATTTGTTTCATAGCTGACATCCATGGCAGCAACCACAGGCAATTTGTGAGTTAGTAAACACAGCTAGAATGCCAGCTCTCAAACTGTAACACCCTGGCTTGTTAAATATTCATTCATTTCACAGGTGTCCTACCCTGGGCAGGGAGGTCAGGAGGTTTGCAGAAGAAATGCTGGAGTCGGAATCTGGGAGAGAGGGTGTGGACAAAGGGGTGTGGTTCATGGAGGGAGCTGCACCAGTCAGAACACCGCAATGGGGGAGGGCACCACAACACGCTTTAGGAGTGAAATCCAGAACGAGGGGAGAGGAAGGCAGGCTGGGGAGGACTGTTCACCGACAGCGGTGAAGTGGTTTTGACAGTGACCTGCTGGTGGCGGAAGCTGGGACATGCTTATGACCTGAGGTCTTCCCAGCACAGGGGCTTCTCACACCTTGGTAAAGGAGGCTGAACTCAGACCATCTGGCTTGAAGGCCCGGTTCTGTGCTTCCAATTTTGATCTTAGCCAAGTAACTCTGTTCAATCACCCTGACGGGATAATCTGGGTTGAGGCGAACACCGGCCTGTCAGGATGACCAATGATCTGTTCTCCAGAAGTCATACAGCATTGGGCTTCCCGAATACAAGCAACGTTTGCACCCAACTCCAGACAGCATGGCCTAGTCCACACCAGAGCCCTCATAACAAAACTGAAAGGCACAGGAAGCTACAGCTAGTGCCACCTGTCACCTTGAACCATTTCAATCTCTCAAGTAAGCGAGGAAGGCAGAATGGGGGCATCAGAATAGGAGTTTCCAGGTCCTGAGGGAGGCACGATGAGGCCCAGACAAAGTCCCAAATCTTCTATAAACATAGGCCATTTTAATCACAAGTCAATATCACCCCCAAGAGGCCAAGCCTTGATGTGTCCTCTCAAGCTCCTTACCTTCTCGCTGATGACGGTGACTGTGGCATCGGCCACGTTCATGTTCACCAAAGGCCAATCCTCCTTGCTGGATGAGGTCATCAGACTTTCTATGGCACTGTTCAGGGTGTCCATGCCTACACAGAGAAAGGATAATTAAAACTTCACTCTCTAATACAGGCCCAGTCACTCAGGAGCAGCCAGATCCAGGTTGGCCTTTGTAGTTCCTGCGGTCAGGCCACCTTACCGCTTTATCCTCAAGTTTGCTCAGAAGAAAAAAAAGTCAGTTTTTCCAATAGAGAGTCCTGGGTACCTCCAGGGATGTGTGTGTATGTTTGTGCCTGCATGTCTGCATGCATGCATGTGGTGTGTGTGTGTGTGTGTGTGTGTGTGTGTGTGTGTCCTGTCTATGAGACTATGATGCTCCAACCTCAAGCCTGCCTTTGAGAGCCTGGGGAAGGAGACCTAACAGAAGCCAGCATCTACCAGAGTATCAGACCCTTCCCCATCACACTGACATTTAGTCAGGGAAGAGTTGACGGCCCCTTTACAGATGCTGTCCACCAGTGGGGTTCCTTTGCTAGCTGTAGAATAAGTAAGCTCAGAACAAGCTAAATCTGTTTGTTGTGTGCGAGAGCACATGACACACTGTGTGCGTGTGTCTGCAGACAACTTTCCAGCTGTCCTGCGCCCCCTGAGCTATCTGGCCTGCTCAGGAGTAACAACTTCACTGTGACATAACTCGCATGGAATTCACTCTTTTTAATGTATACCATCCAATGGCTTTCAGTCTACTCATAGGGGAGTCATCAAATCAATTTTAGTATATTTTTAGCACCCCTGTAATACTTAGGGGGCACTCTCTATGTTCCCTACAACCTAGCCTCGAATCAATTCCTACTTTCTGTCTGGCTCTGAGGACTTGCCTATTGTCAGCACTTCTGTTAAGAATCCTACACAGAGGACTCTTTTGGGGCGGGAGAGGTGACTTCTTTGATCCATCTTCAATGTTTCAAGGGTCACACGTGCTGTGACATGTTTCTTTACTGTTTTTCTTGCCAGATAAAATTCCATTATTGGAAAGGTGACGGTCATTAGGAGTTTCTTTACTTTTGAAAACTGCCACGAACAAATACTACTAGGAATGTTTTTATAGCTTTGGGGGATGTGCGGGGAACAAAGCTACCAATTTTCTTGGGTATGTGCTTGAGGGCAGGACTGCCGAGTCAAACAACAGTTAAGGTCTTTGACCCTCTGAGGAAGTACCTAATGGCGCCCCAGAGAGCATTTCACTTTCCCCCCCAAGACCTTTGACTTCTCCAGGGCCTTTTCCAGTCATGGAGAAGCTACAGCTCCCAGCTCCTCTGTGAGCTTAGGCAGGTGGAACACCTCAGGTCCTGGCACCGGGGTAGGACATACCACTATGGGTCACTGTGTAAAGATATGGGGGCTCCATCAGTCTTTCCCACCTGTCTCCAGTGGGCAAGAATGGAGGCAGGAGCCTGACCCCAAAGCTGAGAGCTAGAGCACTCTACAGTCCTGGGCTGCTCATCCTTGGAATGCTGGGACAATAGGGAATACATGCCTGTTCGCTTGGAGTCTCTGCATGCTGGGACCGCACATCAAGTCAAGGTTAGCTTGCCCCCACCACCTATGCGATCAGGATGATCATGTGTCCAGGCTGGTGTCACCACAGAGGCACGAGTCAGGGTTAAGATATGGTGGCCCTCACCCTCCTGGGAGAACCAACGGCTCTTGTAAGCTTTGGAAGCCTTGCCCAGTTTTACCTACCGACAGGTCTGTCCACGGGTAACATGCCCAGGTACTGCACATGGAACTTCTGCACCAGTTCCGTCTTTGGTGTTGGAAAATCTACTACAAGGAACAAAAGCAGTGTGTTTCTCAGTAGTTCCAGGGCACGGGGAAAGCCAGCTGTCCATCTGGAATCTGCACGCCCAGATGGCGACCCATACCAGAGCACCCTGTTCCCAGACGTTCGTTCTATAACGACAGCATTTCCCGACTCCAGATGTAGGGGCTTTGCTAGTCTAAACCCTACCGATCTCTCTTTCAAGGTGAAATGCTTAGGAAGGCAAAACCCAGTATGCTAAGTCGTTCATGTGCTGAGAAACAGCTTTCCGTGCCCTATTTGTTAGGCGTGGCTGGTGCCCGAAGAAAGTTTATATACATTATATATACAAAGGGTATATATAATCAAAGGCATGGAAGAAACAATGCAGTCCCCCCAACTAACAATCTATAGATATTTAAACGAGACATTCCTTACCCCCGTGGTAATACATGGGATTAAACAAAACAAAAACTCTGCTACAATATTCTAATTTGTTCAATAGAAACAAAAACCAACTTCCCCGTTCAATACTTCTGAACTCTGTCCCCTCGGGGCCTGGAGCACACACTCATTGTCCCCTCCACCACCCAGGCAGGGTCTCACCATGCAGCACCTACTGACTCTACGTCCCAAAATCTAGAGATTGGATTCTAGGATGGAGGCCACCATGCCCAATTTTAAGGTGTACTTTTATTTTATATGTATGAAAGGTTTAGTTAGCTTGCATATATGTGCAGCACATGCGTGCAGTCACTGCAGAAGCCAGAAGAGAGCAACAGATGCCCTAGAAACGGAATCACACACGGTTGTGAGCAGCCCTGTGGGTGCTGGGAATCGAACTCAGGTATTCTGTAAGAGTAGCCGGTGCCATCATCCAGCCCTCGAGTGTGCTTCTAAAGGAGACCAGAGAACCCTGCAACCCTCCAGTCTTGCAGGACTGGCAGGAGCCTTGGAGGAGGGGCCGCTGTAGACATACCTTGCAACGGGACGTCGAGACTCACATTGTTCCTTTCCTGTAAGGAGCTGCAGGCCAGGGCTTTGGCATTCTTCCGTTCAGCCATAATCTAGACAGCAAATGAAAGAGCATCTTGGGTTCCCGGCTACGGTCCCCATGTCACCAGCCAGCCCTGCCGGCAAAGCATCTGAGTGGATTCTACCGGGCTTTAAACTGACGCTCATCTTCTGCCTCCTCTCCCTGCGCTACACATTATGTGAGATTTCACCTTTCCCTGCTGGGGATGACAGGTGAACATTTCCTCAGAGTGACAGCTCTCTGGATGCTTGGAAGCTTCTTCTTCCATCTACTCATTCCCACACCTGTGGAGGACAACCCAACAGGCACCCTCTGGGGGCACCTGGGCCCTCTGGCCCCTGAGCTCAGAGAGCACAGAGTAACACGCTTCCCTGGTACTGTCCCAGGGCGACTCTTAGATACTCTTTCCAGGCCTCTGAAGACTTCAGATCCTACCGCTGCCCTTACTAGCCGTGACCTTGGATAGGTAAGCTGCCCTTTTGTGTCACCGCATATAGACGAGAATATGTATGTCACAGCGCATGTGTGGAATAAATGAATATTAAAGGAGTCCAGAGGGCTCAGGAATGTCGGCTGCTGCCGTCATCTTTCTCCGGCTCTTCCAGGCGGTCTCTCTTCTGTGAGGGGCACTAATGGTCACTGTGTGCAGGCATCTTTTTGTTCTTGTTCTCCACCAGGGAGTTACAGTGGTGTGGGTTTAGGTCACAATGGCCCTGGAAGTAACTCGCGCTTTGAACTCCAGCCCAAGATGTTCATTGCAAAATAATGACCGTCATTTCTCTAGGTGTATGTAATGTAGCGGTGACGTAACATTCACAGGAGGATAAACACAAGTCACATGCAAAAACTCCACCATCTTGTGAGGGACTCGGACACCTCTGTTTCTGGGTAACCCTGACGTCATTGATATGCCTTGAACTTGGAATCCACCACACATTAACAACGGGCTGAGAACCACCCTGCCCGCTTCCTCCTGGGTTTGATGTCACAGGCAGCTCTCTGGCCCTCCCGCTCAGTCAGTGAGGGGAAACAGGGAGGTAGACCCTGTGCCCTGGACCCATTCTTACCTTAGAACAGATTTCGTGGAGACTTGTGGCGATGGCTTTTGCTGGTGTGTCACATCGAAACACATGACACTTCAGAATCCTCGTGTCTTTGTCTCTTGCCACATAAGCAAAATCCCTGTGCAGAGGCAATTTGCCAGGATTATTAGGAAAAGGAACCTTTTCTCAACATGCATTCCAGTTACGACGACTATTAACGGAGCTCATAGCCAGCATGCCAGCGGTGAACGGCCGATGCAGATTAAACACCAAAACCAAAACACCAACAGCTACAGACAGCAGAAGCAGAGGTCAGTGGCTGTTAGGGACCTGTTGCTATGTGACATGGTACTGTCCTCTAAACCCAGCTCTTGAACTCTGGGATAGGGACCAACCCAGCGTGCACACTGAATTCTGGAGAAAGCGTCTGTCTGGAGCAGTAACAAATAAGACGATGAGACAATGAACACGGAACTGGGAAGAATACGAATTACAGAATGATAAAATGACAACCAGCACGAGCCAGCAGAAGTGAAACAATGGGCTGTGATGTGTGGGTGGGCTCAGAGGACGGGCCAGCCCCACAGCTGCCTGAGGAAGCTGATGGGCAATCAGAGAACCCCGGAACACACATGTCCTATGAACTGGACATTACCAGACATCCACACTGTGGCCCTGGAAGCCATGCTGGTCTCCTGTGTTATATATCGGGTTAGCTCAAGCAAGGTGACTGCTCTATCTGTGCTACTGACACCCATTATGACGTGACTTGGCTTCAGAAAACCATACCGGGTAACACAACTAAGTTTCTTGCTGTTATTAATGGAGACAGTGGCTCTCCAAAGAGGAAGTGAAAGGTCTCGCTGTGTAGCCGAGGCTGGCCTGGAACCCCAGTCTTCTTAGCTAACTTCTAAGTGCTGCAACCATGGCATGAGCTACCCCACACAGCAACTGAATTTAATTTTTACATTACTTGTCTTCCTATCTGTCTTTTTTAAGTTTTAAATATATCCTATTTTTTAATTATGTGTGTGGGTATGTACACTGGTATGCAGATGCCCCCCTCCCCCACCAGAGGCATGCAATCTCCCTGCAGCTGGGGATGCAGCCAGAGCCGTGAGTGGGTGCTGGGAACCCAGCTCAGGTGCTCGGAAAGAGCAGTGCCTGCTCTTCGCTGCTGAGCCACCTCCCAGTCCCTACTTGTGGGTTTCTGAGATACGGTCTCACAATGGGGCCCAGGCCAGCCACAAAATTACAGCAATTCTCTTGCTTCCACCTCCCTGTGTGCCAGAATTACAGCTATGAGCTACCATGCAGCTTAGATTACTTCTCTTACTACGGAAGAAGCTGGTAAGATTTCCATAGATGACCACACGAAGGTCTAGCCATACGTGTGGTACTAGGGTGAGGGAAAGTTGGTGAGCTCGAAGGACTGGCAACAGAAACCTGCTTCCTGGCCTTCATGCCCTGGAGCTGGTCCTGAATACAGCGCATCCTTGCCTGCCATCTCACAGGTTCTGCCCTCAGCCTGCCCTCACCTGCCCTCAGTATTGCTCCTAACTGCCTCCTGCTCCTTTCCTGCCCATCTCCGTTGGCATCTTCCATGCTAGAATCAAATGTTCCCTAGCCTGCCAGCCACAGCCCTGCACCCGATCCCAATGTCTTGGCCTATCTCACCACCTGGAAATCTCCTGGATCCCTCGCTCCCCTTCCAGCCTGACCAGTGCTCAGCATCTCAGCAAGTTCTCATCCTTGCCTTTGCTTACTTTGTCTCTACTCTGTTGCCACTGCTGGGCTAGGGTTCCCTATGTACACCACACTCACCAGTGGGCATCCTGCAAGTCCACAAAGCTCCATGAAGATGGATTATATCTTAGGCCCAATGCCTAGTCTGGGCCAGGACACAACAGAAATGAGTAATGTTTGGGGACTGAAGCACAGGCTTGCTCCATGTGTCCCTGGTGGCATTTACCTGAGGTGTGAATGGGTACCATGGCATTGGGTGAAGGGATAGGTCTAGGGGTGCAACACACTTTGAGAGGTGAGAATAGTCCTTCTCCACATTGTGTTCTCAAAGCCTTCCCATCCCAGGCTCAAGTGCCATGAAGGAAAGACACAACCTAAAAGATCAACAGTTCATTCTGGAGATGGCTAAGGGGGAAGCCTTGCTCGTGGTTTCCTCCCCAAGCTCCCTTCCTTTCCCAGATGGTTCAGACAGTAAGGCACACAGTGTCTGACAACCGTTTCCCTTCCAACTCCCAGGTCTGGCTGCCGTGTTTCTGAGGCCAAATCTCTCCAGATTCCCTTGTATCACTCACAGGAAGTGCAAACACCCTTGTCTGGATTTTGAGAGTTGTAAAATGTCTGTAACATCTTCAAGCCTCATTCCTTCTGGCAAGGTCTCCCCCTCTCTCTGCTTAAGTATGTGATCTTCATGATTGCATGTTGTGGTTGGTATCTTCCCTCATCTGGTGACCATGCGCCCTCCCTGCGCCGTCCAGAGCGCACTCACCTACCCAGCACAGCCTACCTGAGGTCTGCCTGGCTCTCTGACCCACAAGGCCTTGCTTGTCTAAATGCTGTCAGTATGCAAATTCTGCTCGCTATACTTTCTCTTGTAGAAATGTACAGTTTCCCCTCTGTGTCTGTTCTCTCTAAGGGTCAGGAAGGAACAGAAAGAAGGACGCTGGATGCAGGCAAACCAGCTTCTAGTTTGTTCCTGGTTTTACTTAGCTAACATCTCTAACCCCAGAAACCTCAAACCAAAACTTGCTGGACAGGGCACCACAAGTGGAAAAGGCCATACCATGAAATTGATTTTTTTTTCTTTTTTATGAAATTATCAAAAACGGTGTTAAAACTGCCTTTGGCTTGGGGGAATAAGAAATGACTGTCAGATTGAATTGTGGATCCCATCTCATCATAGAGATGCAAACATTCCAAATCCAGAAATCCTTCTGGTCCTAAGCATCTTGGAGAATAAAGGACTGGTGTGACCCCAGGCCTGGTTACGAAGCCCATCTTTACGTGTGGGTAGAGACATTTACTTCCACATTGCTTTGCTTCTGATGAAAGCTTCCAAGACCCAGGCTCCTCTCCAGCCTGACGGGCAGTCAGCAGGAAGCCTATATTCCCAAGGTTCCCAAGGTCACTAGCAGAGAGGAGAGGACACACCTGGGCCACTAACCACGGGATCAGTCCTACCAAGCACAGGCTACGTGCTGTCTGTTCTTTTATGTGTAACCTCACAGGCATAATTTTTAAAAATCACTACTCTTAATCTTCATCTTCTTTCGGCTCAGGGGAAGGCGATGAACGTTGCAGGGCAACCGTCCGGAAACTATCTCTCCCTGAAGGATAACAAATTCTGAGCAGCCTATCTCTACTTCTTCTTACGAAGCCCATCTTTATGTGTGGGTAGATAACAGATAGGCAGAAATCCCAGTGCCTCTTTCCATAGAGTTAAGAGGGCTGGATGTCTCTAACTTTAGTCCATTACGTATTCCAAATCACCCTAAAACAGCTGTCACTCCCCGACATGGAGGTCTGCACGGACAAGGCTTGTCCCTCAGACCTAAGCATGGACAAACATCTCATGAATCAGCAGGACATCTTCACTGGTTGTGCTGGAAGCTGCTTCCAGCGTCTGCCTTCTGGAAATGGTTGCTGCAGCAGACACAGTAACAGCTTCCCTTGTTTCTCAAGACATTCTCGTCCTAACTCATGGACTCTTGACAAGTGTCCTGGCAGATGTACCAACTTAAGGATCCAGAGACAGGGCTGTTTCTCTAGATTGTCTGACTGGCTCTGAGAAATCCTGAGGGAAATGAGGCAACGCCTGCCTTAGAAATGACAGGAGAGGAGCGGGACACAAGCAAAGGACACAGGGAAGGGCAGGCATATGTGCTCTTTTGAAATCTCTCTAAGAAACACAACCCTGATAGCTTTGAAAGACCTCTGACCTCTAGCGCTCTAAGAGTGAGATCTGTGGCTTTAAGCCACTTAAGCTCGTGGCAATCTGCTATAGCAGCGACAAGAAACTTCACGGCTGCCCCACGACTTCCCCCAAACTGTAGTACGGAATTTATAGTTTTTGAAATGCCAATTCACTCTCGCAGGTTCCTTCTGTGGCCCTGCCATGGAGCATCAACGATGCAAACACCAACAGACAAGGTGCCAATCAGGAAGCCCATGGGGCAAATTTCACAGACTAGTCAGAGAGTCCTATGATCTGTTCCTGGTAGCCTCTCCAGGGTGAGGAATGAGACTCAGATGATGACAAAGACAGAAGGTAGGTGAGTTACAGGAGCCTCGGAAGTGCCCCTGGTTGTCCACTGATGCAGCAGGGGCCGTACTGGTGGTGTGGCTATAAGGATGCTGTCCCAGGATCTATCTGCACAGTGCTGCCCCCTGCTGTGTGAGTAGCCTTTACTCTGAGGCATTCTGAGAGGATAAAAAAGATATTGTATACAGCATTCCAGGTTTAGAGGATCCCTAGAAGGTGGACAAATGACCAGCCTAGTGTGAGGCCCATGAACTCAGGAGGAGATGGCCAGGCCCACGTGCCTATCAGGTGTCGCATCCCAGCTGGTCTGCAGCAGCTTGGATTCTATGTGGGATGATGTGGCCAGCCAGTCCCTACGGCTTAGACATTGTGGGGTAGAGAGAAGGAGGGTACACAGTAGGGATATTTCAAGAGCAACCCAGAGTCCAAACATGTTCCCTTCCCGAGCTGTGTCAGACTTCTAGCGATAGGTTCCTCTGCTGCCCCCTGGTGGCTGGGTTTCTCACACAGTCTGGCAGCTTCCAGGGACAGCATCTCATCTACCAAACCACACCACTAGTCTAAACGGCCACTAGATCCCAGGTACAACACGGCTTCTGTCTTACCACACATTCTTCTAGATATCCAACTGTCCAAAATGCTCTGTCTGATGCTAGGGACCCTTTGCTCCAGCTGATACCCTGTCCAAGGCTGGACCAGGGGCCACCTGTCAAAGCAGGTACGGGGCCGGTCATCTTGCCCAGAGTCCCTCCCCATTTGTTTCTTGCCATCAGGGGACTTGGAGGGTTTTGTTCTATAAAGCAGGGGGTGGGAGGTTTGCAGCGGTAACCTCATGTCTCCTTCCTGAACTCTGACAGACGCTTGTGACAGGAATCAGGCCCCTCTAGCAGTTTGACTGTGAACCCATGGGCTTCCAGCTTTTTTCTTCTTGTCCTTTTGCTGTTCTCTCTGGTAATTATCCCCCCAGAGGACCAGCCTCAAGTTCTGCCAAAGGAAAAAAAATGTCAGCGCTAAGACATCTTTGACAGCCTCGAATTTCTTAATGGCAAAGTGAAGGACCAAAGATTGCTTTCATCATTCTCTGCTCTGTGACATGCCGAGCGCCCTACCGGGGCTGGCTCCGTCTTTACGGAATGAACAAATAAACAATTCTTTATTCAAATGGCTCCTATTAAAAACAGCTTCTCGGCTCATTCTTTCAATCTCTCCGGCAACTCTCAGGGTACATGGAATTTACCTACGCATTTCTCGCTCTGCCAAAGGCACGGAAGAGGTGTCTAAAGACCTCTTAGCTGCGACACACATGAACTGTCCCTGCGCCGGTACCCAGATAGAACACTTCATGTCCTTATGGAACCAGCTTGTCTTGTTGTTGAAAGGCTTCCAGTGACTGAATGGAAAAAATACATATGTATATAAATACATATATGCGTAGCTTGTTTCTCTTAATGAGAAACTGTAATCCCCCTCCCTGTACTTTTTGCTGGTTGAGGTGGTTTTCCTTTCTGGGGGAGACCCAGAATGTGATGACCCTGCCAGCGATACTGCCGGCCACATAACAGCCACTGTGCACTCTCCTCCCCTTTTCCCTGGGGACTCATTTCTCATCCACTGTCTCACCAAATCTCCTCACCGGAATTTCTTACCAAGGCTCCACAGGCTAGATGACACCTTTCAGGTAATCCATATCTATTCAGGTCAAATGGATGCTTTTATGCAGAGAACTGTGAAGGCTGGTCCATGACAGGCACTTGGCGAGTGGCAGTTACCATAATAAATGAGGGGAAAGCAAAGAGAAGCCCACCTTGGATGCAGTCAGTCCCGCATGGACTGAATGGAAAGGATTCCTGCACAGTGTGCAGTTATCCGTCCTCCCAGCCTGACTATGTATGGAGACTACCAGCCAGCAGAGTGGTTCCTAAGAGGCCAAGGTAGGGCCCCAAGTCAGGATGGGACAGCTGCAAAGGGACCTGGGCCAAAACTCTTCTCACACTTTGAATGGAGGCTCTCTCTCTTCCCTTTCCTTCACACACACAGAATTGAGCACAGGATTCTGGAATTTGGAAAGCTGGCCCACACCAGAACACAGAGTGCTGACCGGAATCCCAGGACACATCAAAATACACCTACTAACACCTCCAGGACCAGGGAGAGAATGTATTCTATGTCCAAGACTGCTCTTATTCTGAGATCATACTTTGGAAGATTTGTCTTGAGGATGGGAGGGACAGGGAAGAGAAAGAAGGGAACGTGAGGAATCCCATTGCCCCAGATGGCTGCTCTAGAACATCTGTCTGCACGCCTGTCTTGGGTGGTGCTTTTCTGCTTCATTTTACCGAACATCAACTGTACCATGGGTGAGTATCAGGGGATCTCACCAAGCCTGAGGTTCCATCTTGGTAAACTTTCCCCGCTGCATCTTCTGGGAAGACGCTACACTTACACTGAACAGGGGCAGCCCAACAGTTCACGACCTGGGGCGGACATGCTCTGCACAGCAGAACTTCCCAGGCACCCTTTTCAGATGTGGGCCGTGTGAACAGCACGTCTGAATTCTACCACCTGCCATGAGCAAGGAGGCTGGAACAGAAGGCGCACATTCTCCCGAACACGATCTTGCCGTTAATATGCAGAACAGCTGTCACAGCTGTCTCCCAGTAAGGAGACCTGGGCACACAGGGAAGGGAAGAGCTGGCCAATGTCTGGAAACCTCCCCACCACAGATTCCAGCAGGATGTAGCACGCGGGGGTAAGAGATCTTATATCTCATGCTTAGGCCCAGGATGTATCCGCCCAAAGGGAGACATTCTCTTGGTCATATCCTCTGGTGGTCCCATTCCCTAAGTAGGACCTGATAGGTCAATGCTGTCTTGCTTGCCTAACCACTGAGCTCACAGGCAAGACAGAATAATGCTTGCGAGCCACAATGTCAGGAATGTAGCCAGGTATGAGCCCAAAACAAAGAGGAACTCAACCTCGGGTCCCTTCACTGTGGCTGGAACGTCTCAAAATGCCCTTGTTCCACCAAAATGGCTTTGTTTGTTTGTCTGGTGACAGCAATAGAGCATGTAGGAGCTTCAAGCTTCCATACTGTCAATTGGGAGGCTGACATTTTAAAACCTCAGTTGATGAACAGATGCCTTGAATTTCATGGTTCCATCTTCTCCACTGGTATATCCTTCAAGGAGGAAATGAGGGCTCCCTGCCTGTACTGTGGCTAATAACTGATCTTGAAACGGCCTGAACTTCTGGCTAGCCAGCCAGCAAACTTAAGAGAACACAACAAAAAACCACACTGTCACTCTTCAAGAAACAGCTAGAGTGTGACACAGGACCCAAACATATCTGTCACACTTACTCCCCAGCACACTGAGTCATTTGCTCAGCCACCAGTGAGAGAGAGCCACTGGGGTGGCTATTGTTCTTAGCTTGTCACTTAGCCCATCACCTTCCCCAAACAGAACCAGACACAGAAGATGGTTAGGGGCCCGGATGCAGCTCCAGGCTCAGGTGCAAATGGCGGTGAGAAAAGGTTAAACAAAACGTCTGCCTTTGGGGGCAGCCAAGGCTGTGAGGATGATGTTGCCATGGAAGAAGCAGTGAGTTTTGCCAGACACATGAGATGCCAGGGAAGGGGGAGAAGTGAAAAATCGCTGGTTACCTCTCTCTGAGTCCAGGAAGGCATGAGGGGAGAGCAGAAACAGCAAGTTAGCATTCATACCGCATCCAGTCTACAGCAGCAGCACTCGGCGCCGGCATCCCACCGGATTTCCCAACTCTGCAGCCATTAATAGCCTCTCTGTGCTTATTTTAGCCGAACCCTCTCACCCAGAAGAGTGTATTTCGAGCCACGCTACGGTGAAGCCAAGAGTTGCCAGCTGAATCTACAGAGGCAACAGAGCAGCCGGGGGAGGTAACCAAGCTTAAAATATCACAGTCAAATACAGGAGACTGCTCACAGGAAACACTGGCAGGGAACTTCTCTTCATTCTCCAGCCCCTGGCTTCTCACAATTTAAAAAGAAAAAACAACAAAACATACAGAAACCACGGGGCAGATGTAACCTTACCTGCTTCACAGCACCCCGACACCCAGGGGTTTTAATGAATGGGGAGGGACACGGAGCAGAAGGTGGAGGACAGAGGTGGGGAAGGAAAGAGACGGGAGAGGAAAACGTCAAGGGTTTGGGTACAGCGCAGTATCAAGAAGAGCTGCGGGTACAGAAAAGTGACAGAAAGGTGCGGGTACAGAGAAGTGCCTCTTGGAGGATGTGGAAAGGAATTGGAAGCAGATGGGGGTGGGATGGGCTGGGGACAGCACGTTTTGAGTTCCATGCTCAGAGCTACCCTGGGTTGCCAGGTGACCCTAAGATATCACCAAGTCCTCTGCCCCTTTCTGTTCAAACTGTCAAAGCTAGTATGAAAGGGCCCAAAGGCAGTCCTCTAAGTGACACACAGGTGTTCTACAGAGTCCCAGACAGCGAAGCCAATGAGGAGAAGAGATGCAGGAGCCACAGGGACCTGCACACCAGCCCTGCAGCCATTGTCACCAGGCTAATAGGGCTCTGCGGGGTGATTGATAGTTAATAGGCAATCGAGCACGCCAGACAGTGAACTAGAAAGGCAGAGGGAGCCACTACACCTCAGAATAATACAGGTGTCATATGCCATATGGGGACTGGGATCTACGCCTACAAACCCAAGTGGAAGTTACAAGGTCTCAAATGAAAAGCTACGAGAAAGGTTTGAGTGCATTGAAAATTAGCACCGTAAACGGGCTGAAATAACACAGCACCCAAACTCTCCTCTTGGAGGAAAGGTGACAGAGGATTTCATTCAACATATTTGTTTGACTATTATACAACAGGCAGGAATTAATTTTGCAATAGAACATACATAGCTACCTCCATATTCAGGGAAGATCACTGTGATCAACACGGGCCAAGAGCCGCACAGGTGACACCTCTAACACTTATGACTACAGTGACACACCCCACACTTATGACTACAGTGACACACCCACAGCTACCCTTCACCGAGCTCTGGTGTTGTGCAGCCCATGTGGTTCGTGCGGGCCCTACCTGCAACCTGACGAAGCCATTATTACAGTATTCTTGGACAGATGGAAAAACAAGTTCAGCGAGTCTGAGGAACTTGGCTAGGTCATACAGCAAACCCACAGTGAACATAGGTTTGGGGTTCCAGGTCTCTCCTAGCCTGTCTCTCAGATGACAAACCCACCAGGCTGAATAAGTTTGCTTAAAACAGAGCCAAAGGGATCTGGGTTCTTAGATGATCAGACAGCCCACGTTTCCTGGAAAGGCTGTTCAGGCTAATGAGGTAGACAGAATCAGAAGCTTCCAGGATGGTACTTACCTTCTTTTTGTCAATCTCCCATGCCCTGGGCACACTGCATGAGACAGCATGTTCCTGACCTAGGTCACCCATCAGTGAAGAGGGGCAGCGACCCTGGCTCGGGGCATTCAGGAGAAATGAGATCAAGTGAGATGGCATTTAACCAGGACGCACTGGCCTGCACCTCGGGAACTGTTAGCACAGTCACGGGAGGGGTTCCTCTCTCAGTTAGGCTGGGCTGGGCAGCATTTGACCCCGAGGGCTTGTCTGGAGGGTCGAGCAGAGGCTTGCAGCTATTTGTACACTCTTTCCTGAAGGATGGTCCTTCTCTACTGGAGAAGGTCGTCGTCAATGGAGCATGAAGCTTTGGAAGGGGACGTGAGGGACGGTGAGGCAGTAGGAGGACATTTATCTCCCAGCCAGATCAGCTGAATCAACACTGGGGACCAGTGAGATGACAGATGTCATAGTCATATTACCCTCATATCTTCAGGTGGCATCTGAGGTGGACTATCTCTCCTGGAAAGGCATTTACCTAGGAAGGGGGTGTTTCTTAGACTTTCTAGATGTTCCTTGGGATAACATAGTTGCCTTTGGTTAAGGTTCTTCTGCACTCTCCCGGCCCTGCTAGCAAAGCCAATCTTTTTTAAGTTTAAAAATCTTTTTATTTTAATATGCATTGCTTTTCTGCTGGCATGTATGATTTCATCAGAGTGCTGGATCCCATAGAGGTGGAGCTATAGACAGTTGTGAGCTGCCACGCAGATGCTGGGAATTGAATCTGGGTCCTTTGGAAGAGCAGCCAGTGCTCTTAACCACTGAGCCATCTCTCCAGCCCCTGTCTTCTAGAGATCCTGAGTTCAATTCCCAGCAACCACATGATGGCTTACGACCATCTATAAAAGGATATGATGCCCTCTTCTGACTTGCAGGTATACATGCAGAGAACTCATACATGAAAAACTATATGTGTGTGTATACCTACACACGTACACACACACACACACACACATATGTATGTATATAGTCAGTATTTAGAGGCAACTTTCTGTAAGTCAATGACCCTCTGGAGTCTCAGATTTCCCACATCAGATGAAAAAGGCTCCCAGAATGCCCTTACAGTCAGTTTCCTTCTTTAATAACAAAAAGACATGTGTTCTTCAAGAACAAACAAGTGATGTTTCTTTGATTCAATCTTGATTTACAACAAAAGCTTTTAATTACTTCCTCTTCACAAATGTCGATGTCTAGTGTATGGCAACAACTCTGCCCAGTGGTAGTAACTCTAAAGACTGAGGCTACGATGTTTCTGCTGTGTACAGCCTTGGCTATTTAAAATCAGACTCACTGCAAGGGACTCATTGGGACAAACAACACTGACGTGCAGGCACTGTGCTCCCCCCATAGGAAGAACTGGGAAACATCTGAATAGAGTTAATTCTTTGGGGCTAAGAGACACTGTCTGCTTTATGTGTTGAAGTAAAAACCAGCCATGAAGAGAGGTTTCAGGGGCCCTGAAATGTCATTCAAAACCCTCAAAGAGTCACAGTCAATGGCAGCCACCACTCAGCACAGCACATCGTAAGTTTGCTGGATGAGAAACAACAACAACAAAAAATCCATTAGCCCAGAGCTGGGCTTTTACACGAGATGAGGTATTCTGAGAGTGGAGGAGGTTAAATTCAGTCAGGGCAAGTCTACTGTCTTCTTAGGGTACATGGTGCCAGTGGGAAGAGTCACGTCTCAAGATAAGTTCCACTGAACACTCACTAGGGCTGCCCAACCAGCACACTCTTGCTGCGGCTCCTTGGAAAAACAAACGCAGGGAAAACTGGCAGTGTTCTCCTTGGCATAAACCTGAAACAACAGAGCTACCTGGCATGTGCAACTGGCATTCCCAAACATTCCTGGAAAAACAACGGAGACGGCACAGCAGAGGGACACGGTATAATACGGTTCTTTGAAAGAGGGCATCATCCTTGTGCCCTGGCCAAGCCACTTCCTGCTCACACAAAAACACAGCTATCTCCTCCTCACGTCCCGAGCTCTCAAGGCAAGGCCTCTGCTACGCCTGCTGTCCACTGCTGTGGAAACCTGTGCACGTGTCCTTTGATGCTTTTCTTCATTGTCGTGGGTCTCTGGGACCCCTGGGTGTGGGGTCACCTTCCTCACACAGCAGTGGACTACAATGAAGTCTTCTGTCTGCTCTTGCACCTCACAGTCTGTTTCCCGTCTAGCTACACATCTCCACTTCCTGAGTAAGTGACTTTTATCAGCTGTCTGCCCCGGCTGGGGCCCTTGGCTCCTTTGTTCTTCAACTTTATCTGTAACATGGGCAAACCGGTGGGACACGCATCTCAACAGCTGGGAGAGCTATGGCTGAGTCGATCCACAGAGTGCTCCTGAGCCGTGACGGGTGGCGGCGTGACTCTGTGACTCTGACGTGATTGAATGGGGCTGAAAGGCAGGTCTGTGACCCAAAGCCACGGCCCACAAGGAGGGCCTACACTCATAATTTTATGTTCAATTCTGGAGGGGATGGAGCTGGAATGGCCCAGCACACCCCTGTGGAACCTCCACCTCACTGGCGAAAGACTTCAGAAGTGAAATGAATAACAAGTTTATGCAAATTCCCCATCTGGTTTCTGGCGAGATTCACACACTTCAGCCCAGGGACAGGCTTTCTTTCCTCCGACAGAGAATGACAGTAATCACCTGCCTTGAACCAAGGACACTGTTCTTTCCACAGTAGGGTCCCTGTACCTGCTCCTGCTGCCAGCGCCGGCCCCCATGGCAGCCATTAGCTGGGGCAGGAGAGAGCTGGTGTGACCAGGACTAACAGTGGGGTGGGGATATTAAAATTCGAGGCACATTCTTCTAAACAAAGGGTTTCTCATGACACTGGAGAGAAGGCACACAACAGCTAACTGGCAGCTCACTGATGAGGTGGGGGAAATATATTTAAAAGCAACCAAGAAATCAGGGCTGTTTTTTACCCCTTCCAAAGTCTACCTTGTGGAGAAGAGTTGATGAGTTCCCGCTTCCCTTTGTGCAAATGAAAAACCCGCCTCTCTGACCAAGAGGAAATTTAGCATTTAGTTTTCCAAAGAGGGATAATTCACGCCAAGCCACAGTTTCAAGGGTAAAGTTTGAGCTCATTAAAGAATACAATTATATATATATCATACTTGAATGGTGAAGGCACGGCTTTCTCTCTCAAACAGATGGTAAAACAGAGGCATGGGCCCCCCAGAAGGCTCCTCTCTGACAAGACGGAGGAATGCCTGAATGCTGAAGATGACCACTCTCCAAACTGTGTAAGAGGTGCCTGGAGTGTGTGAGGACCAGACAAGACTCCCAGTTAAAAAGGAAAAGAAGCGATGTGCTGGGGATATGGCTCAATGGCGCTGTGCTTAGACAGCATGTGTAGAAAACAAAACCAAAAACCAGCCAGCAAAGCCATTCTGAGCCTGTGGATGAATTCCCGTCAACTGCGTACCTGGCCATCGGTCTGTTCTGGGTAAACCACACTTTCAACCACTCTCTGGATTTGCAAGGTAACTTGGGGCTATCACTCGATAGCCCCGACCCCATCTCTTTGGGTGGATGGGAGGAATATCAGGGCAAATAATGCAACAAGTGGCTTGTGTCAGCTCCCACTTAGATGCAAGCATTCCTGATCATCTTTAAATTCAATGGTGTCTAAAGAAACACAGACAACACTAGAGAGAAGAGTCAAAAGGTCCAGGGTCCAGGGTCAGGGAACTTAAGCTAACTTGCTCCAGTGCCACAGCTAGCAGTGGTACCTCTGACAGAGTGGACTCTGGGCTGCGCTTGACTGCGCTCCTCCTCTGTTAGTGTCCTGGGGGAACCTGGCCCCTTAGCATGGCTCCATTAGTTGACGTTGCTTAAGTTGTCTTCCTACATGTGTGCTTAGTTCTTGTGTCCACCCTCTCTCTCCCTTCCTCGTCTCCCTCCCCTTTTCCTTTCTCTTGTTTCTCTGTGTTTCTGCCTCTCTCTGTCCCAACCAGACTATGGCTCTTCACTGCTGGTGCCAACAACAGTAATTACCCGCTGGGTTTGGTTTAATATTCCCTTCTTCTCCCGTTACTCCCCAGCCTACAATCACCCTCAGATTCCCTGGGCTCCCAAACACACCAGTCTCTCCCGGCTTGGGAACGTCTGTGGGCTGCCATCATCACTCCACGTTCTGTGCAGGTTCCTCTTGCTTACCACCGCCCCTAACAGGCGCCACTGCTCCCAGTCACTGCTAACTCGAGCCATGTGAACAGCCCTGATCATTCACAGATAAGACCCTCTCTTCCCCAGGACCAAAAAGTAAGTTCTGTGGGTGGTGGTGGGTTTACCCTGATTCCCCGCCATTGGCAATCGACAAGCCCTTTGGAATGAATGAAGAGCTGGAACAGAGGGTTTCCCTCAGCTCTGAAGATGCTGCTGAGAACCCAAGGGAGCTCTGCCTTGCCCAGCTGCCTGGATATTTCTCTCTCTCTCTCTCTCTCTCTCTCTCTCTCTCTCTCTTATTGTTATTCATTACAGACGGTCCTTTCAAAATGACTTCAGTTTTCATGTCATCTGAAGTCACGTTAATAAGACATTTGCTCCACTGCAATGGGAGGGAGGCGAGATCGTGGGCGTTCATTAATCTCTGTGACTATCTGAAAGCCAAGCACATCTGTGCTCCGATTATCTCCAGCAACGGTGGCAGTGATGTTTCTAGGGTCCCTAACCAGATCCCTTCTTTGGGACATTTGTCTAAATGACAAACAGTTCCTCTGTTCCTACGAATCAATACATACATTTCTCCCATATGGAGATTTCTATCAAGATTTATTGGCTCCTCAGATAATTTTCTTTATGTTTGTACTCTGAGAAACAAACTTCAGTTTGTTACTGGGGAAAAGACGGGAGATGATACACAAGCTGAAGGGGAGGGTGGGTATAAACTGTGGGAGCTCCTGAGAGCATTGTCTGGAAAGGGGCGTGGTATCCTGGCCAGGGTCACCTCTGACAGTGGGACATGTAATGTCCTTCCCACACAGGGAGTTTACTCACTAGCTTTAAACTCTGTGTGTGCATGCATGCATTTGTTCACTGTTTACACTATGTGTCTGCACACCACACACACCACACACACACACACACACATACTTTTTTGGTGGCTGTATTTAAGGTTTGGCTTAGAGCCTCATGCGCGCTAGAACAGGGCCTTTTTCTAAAGCTACCTCTCTAGTCCTGTTTTTATTTTGAGCCAGGTGCTTGCTAACTTGCTCAAGTTAGCCTTGAGCTTTGGATACTCCTTTCTCAGCATCCCAAATAGCTGGGATTACAGGCCGATATCACCAGACCTGTCCTCAAAAACACCAGTGATCAATCAATCAATCAATCAATAGAGCTTAAGAAAATAAAAACTACAATGCTGCTGATGCACGACTCCAGTTTTCCTTTTTCAGTCAGTCTTTCTGTTATTGTCTGTATATGTTGATATTTGATAATTCAGACAGACACATGTTAGGGAAGACTGTGTGACTGTGTGCAATTAAACAGCCTGACCTGCAGGAATCCTCTAGGGACTCTTTTTCAACATGCCACAGAGCTGGATAAAGGTGACTGTGCCTTCTGACTTCCAAAGGAAAAGGTGGGGGGGAAAAAAGCTCATTTCAGCTGTCACTGTTTTACTCTTGCGGTCTCAGATCGGGACTTAGCAAAGCATGACCTGCTACAAATGTATTTCACAACTGAAGCATCTACGGAACACGGTGACACCGATCCACTTAGGTGTAGGCTAAGGCTGTACACGCTGTAGACAGTCACTGAAACAGAGGCTGCAATGCCGGTAAAGGCGAAAGCACTGGCTGCTTGACCTTGGCAGGGAAAGCCAGTGAGCCCTGTTCTAGATACTCTGATACGGTGTTGCGGAACACGAGGTAAGCAAACGCAAGCAGAGTCGTCTGT